TTCAAAACTTCTGGCAGTTCCACTGATTAATTGTTCTAACTGACAGGAAATTTTTCCTCAGTTCTAAGTTGCTTCTCTCCTTGATTAGTTTCCACCCATTGCTTCTTGTTCTACCCTCAGGTGCCTTTGAGAATAGTTTGACTCCCTCTTCTTTGTGGCAACCCCTGAGATATTGGAACACTGCTATCATGTCTCCCCTAGTCCTTCTTTCTATTAAATTAGACATACCCAGTTCCTGGGTATATATAACTGCCTGAGTTCATACAGTATATGACTCTGGGAAAAGGCACAAGTTGGCAATATGTGCAAAGATCTGTATCTATACATGCTCCAAATCATCTTTTCTTAGAAACTAGATTGCTGCACAATCTTATGAACTATTTTCTTAAATGCCAAAGGGGAATAGATTAGACTGAAGTTTTATGATCTTCCAAAGAACTTCAACTTAAAATCTGAAGTATTATAAATAATTTAAAATAACAACTGGGCATTTGGAAGCCACACTTTTGAAAAGCTGCTTTCATTGCTGATGTTTGTGGATTTGACTTTTACAATGGTTTCTGTTTGTTCATTAAATTTATATGGTTATCCATGACTCCGGATGAAAGAAAACTAGCACTGCCAATATTAAATCTCCAACAGATGGCAGTACAGATGCAGTAGAAGTTCTGAAGTGTAGTTTAGCATCTGTTCTTTTATTGCGATTAATGAGAATTTGCTGTAAGAAAAAGTTATGATGCTATTGTTTGTGAAGTATGAACCTGTGGTGAGTACTTGTCAGTACACTTTAAGCAGCACACCATCACTGAACATATGCCTCTTCAAGACTGTTAAATGCAGTTGTTTATGGCAATGTGACTTTGTGAAGCGAATACTGTGTGCATCACAGTGCCAAAAAATGTGATGGTGAACCAGAAAAAACTGATTTCTGTGCGTGATTAAGAATGAAGTGCATGGCCTGCGGCAACAACTGTCAAGTTTCACATGAGAAAGTTTGATGAACTGATCTTCTTGGGGAGGCATAGCAAACGGAAGAGAAAACCTGCAAAAGTGTAGCTAGGGCACAATGATCACAGCAAACACCAAAGAACCAATGAGTAGACTGTTTTTTTAAAACCTCTCCGGATAACAAGAGGATAGGAGATCCCCACATATGTTCTAGGTGTCTGTTCCTTGTGGAGACAGAAAGGTATTCTGTGAATTTGAGCAATGGGAGACAAAGGGATTAGCCATCTTGTTGCTACTGCAGCAGTATAGGGGAAGGAGTGGCAGAACCTAGTGGAATAGTTAAAACAGGAATCAGCCTAGAATGTCTATGTAACCATAAGCAGAGTAAGCCCAAAGTCCTTTGAATTCTGTTGACCTTTATTTAACTCCTAGTAAATACTAATCATGGGTTGAGAATATTCCTGTGCATAGGCATGAATAGCAATAAATCAGTTTAATTGGCTCTTCACCTATGGATCTAATCCTTTGTGCCTGACAAGCAGAGCCTTTTAAAAGACACTACTTTTGTAAGTCTCTTTAATCACTTTCAGAAATTTCCTATTAAGCATCTTAAAACTATGAGAGATCTTTGGAACAACACATTTGAAAAGTTGCTGGGTGAGTTTAGCTGCAATATTGAACTAAAGAAAAATTAATTGCAAACTTAAAAAATAAAGAATTTGAAATAAACAGCAAAAAGCTAAATATGATTTTGATGAAAGAAATGGATTAAATATCAAGTTAAATTTGGAATATTGACATTTACTATAAGATTTTGGAATTAATTACAAAAAATAAATAACTTCTCATGTAAACAGAATTATTTTGACTATCCTTGTTCATAATACAAGATAAATGACTTTATAATTTTAGGAACTAGATGCTAAAGAGGACTAAAGATTCTAAATCAATTGGAAAAATACAAGTCTGCTTTTGGTACTGGTTAACTGGAACTTACAAAATGACACAAAATGTCATAACATTGGAAATATTAAAGGGGATCTTTAAAAAATTGAGTTAGAAATTAAAAGCTACAATATCAAAAGTTTCAGTAAAGATATCTGATTGTATGAATAAATTATGTCCAAAATATGTTAAGGAGGAAATGATAGATATGAATTTTGTCTGACAAGACAGGAAAAGTACTGTAAATGGAACTATGAATGATAAGCAAAGAAAATGATTTAGAAAAGGACAAATTTTTATTGTTCTTTATTATTGGATTATTGGATATATTAAAGAAAATGGCTGAATTTTTTTAAATTACAGGAGAATTACAAATGGCAAATCAAGACAAATACTTGGAAAATATTTTCTTATCAAATCTACAAAAGATTTGTTAAACCCTTGAAGTTCGAAACCAATTTCAAGGATATTTTTTTTTGTTCTCTTTATTAAAACATCCCTATTTAAGCTAAAATTATGGATTTGGAACCATTACTTTTGATTTGGTCTTCAGATATGGTCTTTATTAGAGTCAATGTAATATTGAAGCACCGTGATATATATGCAAAAAGATATGCAAAGATTCACTCTCTTTTCTAATAATTTGTAGGTTTATAGTTCTTTTTAGAGCCAAAAAATTCTATATGGGTTTCTTCAGAGGAAAACTTAAGATGTTGTTTCATACACTTGCCTCTAATGGTGACTTCACTTTATAATATTTTTCAGTCATCGTCTAAGACAACAGAGCATAGAGGCAGGTAATGGAGAAGGTACAAATTTCCCTTTTAATTGAAATTAAGGTACTTTCATGTTTCTGACGCTTTTTCTTTGGCTGGAAGGCAGCAAAGAAATTCAGGATATCTTTCTAATGTAATTTATATGTTATCATGCATTATGTTCTATTTGTTTTTGATATCAAAAGTCATTAGAATATTAATGTATATTATTAATTTACCATTTTTAAAATAATTTAATATCCAACTTTTTTTCAATGTATGTTTTTAAGACAAGCACTTTAATAAATTCTTGTACTCTGCTTCCCCAAATATAAAGTATAAAATACAGTTTAATGAAAAGTTAGAGCAACTAATTGAATGTGTGTATCTTGATAAAATGCTCACTAAAGATGGGAAAATATATGAAAACATTTTAAGACATTCAAATGGTGGGTTCTATGGTGAAGAATGAATTTGTTGAAAGAACAAAAATGGCTGATCTTTCTTATTTTAAACATTTATATAGCCTCCCATCTTATATTGAACTCTGGGCAGTTACCAATCACATTTTTAAAAAATCAATAATAAACTAACATGATATATACATTTATTAAATGTTTAATATTTAATTAAACATTCAAAAAACTGTCAGCAAAGTCAACAGTCCTTCATTAGAATCTCTCATCCACCTCACCCTATCTCAGTGCTTTGGGGAAAACCCATGTCTTTAGTGCTTTCAGAAAGCTAGAGAGATAGAGGCCTACAAACTTAAAGAGAAAAGTTTTTTTATAGGGCAGGGGCTACCACGGAAAAGACAGGTTTCCTACTTTCCATAAGATGGCAATGTTTAAGGGAAAGATCTAGGAGCATGCCCATCCTATCTGATCATGTTAGGACAGGTATCATTAGGGAGAGGTGGTCCTGCAGAAAACCTGGCCCCATGCCTACTTTTAATGGAAGTCAGACTTTGGTATGTTAAGAGAAAAATAAAAGTAAATATAATGGGAATTGTGTGTGTTAAAATAAAACACAAGGTCAAAAACTTAATGGGAGCTGGATTAGTGGGAATACAAAATGAGTAATTCATATGAAATAACTATATCAATGTAGTTTTATGATAAAAGACAGAATAGATGAATAGCAAACAAATATGAAGAGAGATGAATGGGTGAAATGGAAGGAGGATCAGAAAAATTATAGTTAAATGAATATAGAGGTGAGTTGTAAAGAAGAAAAGTCAATATATGAAGTGATATATAGACTTGATAAAATCAAATGAGTTAGAAAGATGAATGATGTTGGTATAAATTATATTTAGCTATATTCCCTGTTCTTATGCTTTCCTTTAAAAAAATTGCTTACTCTTTCTTACTCCTTAACTGCATAACACCATTTATCCCAAATTTGTATGTACTGCATGTGTACTTTTTACTGCGTCTATCTGTATCTTTTTGAAAATATTTATACAAAGACCAATGGCAATCCCATTGTTGGGCATCTATGTTATATCTGACATTTCATTTTTCTCTAGACATTGCTATTGCACTTTTTCATTCAGCTCTAATAGTTATGAAAATTAGAAACTTCACTTTAAAAAAAATCCAACAAATTTCCTGAATTTTAATTCTAAGTATAATCTTTATTGTCATTGTACTTAAATACAATGGAATTGGTACTGTTTATGTTCTGTTTTATATGTGGGATTTATTATTTATTAGCAAAGTTTGCATAGATGAAAGTTAATGCATTTCTTTGTGGTACATGTATGTATATGAATATACTTAACCAATGCACATTGAATGATTAGTGGAATGACTTAAGTTATTACTGTCTTCTTTTTTTTAATCTTGTTTTTAGACTTAAAGACGGACTAGCTTGCACCACAGGAAGCTATTTTAATAGGATTTAGTAGATGACAACCCTAGGAATAATAAACTCTTGGAAGCAACAAAAATTGTTTAATTCCTAAAAGACAGACCTGGTTGAACCACTTTTGGCCAGGGGCAATTGAGGACTTAATATTGTGTATGTAGCAATCTGGGTGATCTAAGAGAAAAGCGTTTAAGGGTAATTGCTCAATTTTCTATCCATGTCAACAGGGAAAATGGGCAGAAGTGACTGAGCTCAGCTCAATAATAGAACTGGATGAGATGGGAGATGCCAGGCTAAAATGGGAATTGAAAAAATGCTATCTGTTAAGAATTTCCACAGAGCAAGGTACTTATTCCAAGCTCAAACTGCTTTATGGGTCTAAATAAAAAAAATTAAGTCTTTTAAAATAATCAATTTGCAAGAGGTGGTATCCTATTCTTTGGAAATATTTTATTTCTTCCCTTTTCTTGATTTGCTAAGAACAAATGAGTATAGTTATAGCTGTGCAATATCATTACTAACTTAATTAAGATGTTCATTCTGATTGCAATTATGTCCTGCTATTCATTAGGACCTTATTTTATTTGTTAAGTTCTTCATTAAGAACATAAGCAGTACCCTGCTGAATCAGACCTTAGGGTCATTTAGTTCAGCAGTCTGTTCTCAGTGGTCCAACTAACTGCACAAGGAATCTACCAATTTCCAAGCAGAAGGACTTCAGAGGCAAGCATACTTCCATCAAGGCTAAGCATCTCATGAAAGCAAATTCCAAAGCTTAGTTATAGGTTGTATGTATATATAGGTATACCTTTTGTCTGTCTTGATTCTTCCAGTATTCAATTTTTATTACTTGAACTCTGGTTCTAATATTTTGGGAAAAGAAAAACAGCTTCTCCTTTTCCACTTGATCTATACTATGCACAATTTTGTACACTTCAATCATGTCATCCTCATTCACCTCCTTTCTAAATTAAAGATTAGCTAGACTAGCTCTGTTTATGGGAAATACAGCTCGGAAATTAACTATACAATAAAAACATAGGAATTACGCTCTTTTGCATTTGATTGTCTTGAGCAGGTCAACCTAGTATTTCTCTTGAATTGCATAATTTCAGTGTTACTTGTTGCTACAAATGGAACCTAATTGCTGTATAGGTAAACCTTACAATAGTTATTTAGTGACCGTTCAAAGTTACAATGGCACTGAAAAAAATGATGTATGATGATTTTTCACACTTATGACCATTGCAGCATCCTCATGGCTACATGATTTACATTTGGATGCTTGACAACTGACTTAGATTTTTGATGGTTACAGTGTCCCTGAGTCATGTGATCCCCTTTTGCGACCTTTCAACAAGCAAAGTCAGTGTGGAAATCAGATTCACTTAACAACCATGTTACTGATTTAAGAACTGCAATGATTCATTTAGCAAATGTGGTGAGAAAAGTCATAAAATGGGCCAAAACTCACTTAACAAATTTCTCACTTAGCAACATAAATTTTGGGCTCAATTGTGGTTGTAAATTGAGGACTACCTGTACCTGAGGATATGGATAAGTTAAAGGCAAATGCTCTACTCAATCTATATGACAACTGAGTTGAGAGATTTGTCTTTATATATAGTCTGGTATGCATGTATTTTATTTATTATATTTGTTATTTGTAAGAGGACTTTAAACCAGATGCTGCATTGTGGAGGAGTTCATTCAGTCTCTATGCCAGCTATGTTTCTTACTGAAAAATTGGGAAATTGGATGTGGCCTTTTCACTGAGGAGTACTTTACTAATTAATTTGAGATTCACAGCACTTCAGTTGATTCTGCCTTAAACAATTAACATGAAATATTATTATTTTTAGCTACTGTAGTTTTAAACATGAGCATTCAGTGTAAATCAAAGTGCTTGCATTGTAACTGAGATGTCTTGGCAAATACTAACCACTAAAACTATGGAATATTTATAATTCTAATAGAGTGAGGAAAATATGATACAGCTGCTTAAGAAGGACATTGTAGATTGCATAAAATGAAGATTGGAGGGAGAAAGTGTGAGAAGTTTTATATCAAAATATACTTTATTATTTATAGTGTTTCCATCTTTCCTTAAAACATTAACAGGATCCATAATGGGCTCGAATTAGTATTTTCACTAGATAATTAACAGTTATGATGAAGCTGTTAATCAACTAAAAATAGCAAATGGCAGAAAATCTTTTACTCAAACTTTCTCAAATCCCCCCAAAGTTACCCAGACCTAATCCGCATATAAAGAATAAGATCTGCAAACAGAGTTAATTAAATTAGGTCTCCCAGCGGAACTGCATGTTCACAAGAATAAACATCATAGACATACCTACACACACATGGTTCTCAAGTGTCACCCTAGGATCATCACCTAGACACTTCCACATCCAGGACAAACCTCCCTATATAACTGTGTCATTGTACCCCATTTCTCTGCAGCTGCCTTTAAAGGCAAACACTTTGCTTTTAGGAATAAATATTTCTTATTTCCTTATAGCTGTCTTGATCTCATTTTTGTTTATACTTGCACAATCGCAGCTTAAGTTAGAGCCCCAAATTATTCTTCTAACACAAGGAACAAATTAAAAATGATTATTTTAAGTTTTAATTTAACTTAATATTTTATGTAGGTCTGATTGCTAGAGAATAAAATTATTATAAATGATAGAAAATATTTATAAAAATTACCAATTTCTATGGTAAACTTGATCAGCAGTCAGTATGACAGCAATGAGGCATCTAAAAAGTTTATTTGTGAATTTTTAATGCTTTTAAAAAAAATACATTTTATGACTTTGAAATAAATGGTTAAAACAGTATTCAATAATGTGCATCATTTGTGTAAAGGTGTTGGATTGGTAAGTGCATGTGTTTTGAAATGTTTGATATTTTCATGCCAAAATTATGAAAAACAGTACATTGTCATATTATAGCTGTGATTGTTGAGTCCTTAAGTGTGGTTGATGGACTAAGTTTATCTAAAAGACCCTTTAAGAAAAGCTCTTGAAATATGATTACAGAACTGAGGTGCCATCATTTGAAAGTGCCTAAGGCAAGTTCCTTTGAAAATTGCAGCTGTAGAGGGACAGCAAGAGAACTGCACAGCCCTTAATTGTAGTGTTTTTCCCTCAGGATTTGCTCCCCCCATCAATTTC